ATTTAGAAAACATAACAAATGAGTAACATCGTTAGAGTGAATGCTTATATCAGTGCTGTGCATTTGATCATTCGTCTTTTTTATAAATTTATTCAAAACAAATACGTATCCTGGAAAAATACAGCTTGTATGTTTTCTAGCACATGATATTGATAGCATAACGTTAAAGGGGGAGTAATTCATGATCACCACTTTGATGCTGATTCCTTTTTCAAATTTCTTCAAAAATAAATGACCATACGTTAATCAATAATTGTTAATTTCATTGTCTTATATTTCAATTCCTACTCGAGTTGGACTCAATGCAACTACCAAATGTAACCTGTTTCATTTGCCGATGAATTTGACCAGATAAACATTGAATGTTCGTTTGGTTTTGCGAAGGGAGATCACATGTCTGATCTATTGACATATTTAAACAAAGATACCACTTGATGAGATTTCACGTTTTTATTGAAGCAACACAAGAAATTGTTCAAACAACTATAAACAATCAATCAGCAAAATATTATCACTATCAGCTCACGGTTGCTAGCGTTAGTGACAAGTCATGTACTACTCTAGAAGTTTTCCCTTCAGCTACCCATTATGCCTTGTGTAGGTATCAAAACCCGGGAGGCTACAAATTATCGAAAACAACGTGGATTCAAATGGGTCCTTTTTGTGTTTTTTTTCATCAAGCAGCATCATGCTTCTCTAACAAATTGTTGTCAGTCTAGTTTACTTATCATATACCAAGTATTCCTCCATCCCCTATATTTACGTGACAATGATAAGAATTTTATCATCAAAAGCATGATTTTTACAAGAGAAAGTAACCCAATTAATGGCGCTACCTATAATCATTGGATCAAAGAAAGACATTGAAACAAGATCGTCTATATTTATGAGAAATTTGTCGCATTAACGGCAAAACGAAAGAGAATTATCTTTTCGTGTTTCGTATATACGGTTACCTCCCTTTTAATTTCATTTTGAATATAATGGTAGCTGGATGTGGCCAGGATTTTTAAGTTGGCCAGTTAGCTGAGTTGTTAAAGCGATAGAAGAATGGTCGGAGGTCAAGAGTTCGAAACCTGATCTGGATCACTTACATGTGTACACCTGGAACAATGGTGCTGATTTCTTTTTTATATTTTATTTATACTATCATATTTATAAACGTTCCGCAAGTTGTTGGTTTCATTTTGTGTGTGTGTTCCCCGAGGTTGGCCGTTACCTTGTAGCTGGACAACAAGTCTCCATGGTTTAAAGGGAAAGTTCAGATGTTCATATTATTTTTTAAGTAATAACCAAAAGTAAATTTCATGTAATATTTCATGGGCGTTTAATACAAAAAAAACAGATTTAAGCATTTGCAATTTCTTTTGAATGAATTTTTTTGACGATGAAACGGAATAAAACGTAACGTAAAAAGTGGGTATGTCACTGGCATATATGTTATAGAAATGGAAGATAAGGAAGCAAGTATGAAATCATTTAGTTTGTCAATGTATAAAGCCAAACGAAGCGAAGTATCAAAGATAAAGAGATCGGAAATTAAAGTCTAGAGTGTTCCGAAACATTGTTAGAAAGTGAGAATTCTATATAGAACCCTTTTTCTTAAATCTGATATTTCATGTAAATCGTGCCAGAACTACTTCCAGCTACGAAGTTACGGCCAACCTTGGTGACTGATAGTTCAGCTACAAAGTGATCGCCAACCTCGGAGACTGATAGTCCAGATAAAAGGTTACGGCCAACCTCGATGAATTGTATCCTCGATATCCATGGCCAGGGGTTACGCTCACTATTCGCCATTGTTGTTCGGCTGATTTTTTTTAAAAGAAAATTGAACTTTACTGTAGAGTTATGATGGTTAATGTTAAGAAAGTAGAGGCTTAAGCTTTCATGAAATATTTCCACGGGTGCACTACACTTGTACAATTAAGGACTTCAAATTAACAAAACTGAGGTATTGCCCATGCCTGTTCAGTCTCCAAAACATTACTTCGAAAGTGCTTCTCCAACTGTGATTGCAATGTCGTTTTCAGAATAGATGATGTTTTATTTAGAATATACAGCAATATTTATACAACAATTAAATTGACAAACACACACATTTAACTAGCTATGAAACACCATACCACTATTAAAGATCATTCAGCATTGCACTAGTATAATAATAATCATAATATAATACAACATTTGATATAGCGCCCTATCTAGCTAACATAAGCCACTCAAAAGAGCTTTACAGTACTTAGATGTACAATTAATACAATTAGGATATACAATTTTGAGGAATTCGCAGGAGCTGCCTTATCAGGCGCTAACTGCTAGTCCTACTATGCCACCTGGCTAATATCTCCCTATGTGTGTATGCCTGCGTGTGTGCTGGAGATGTATTGTGTCATTATAAACACATTACTTTATTTTAACAGTAAAAACAGTGATAACGCACATTAACTACATTAATTTACTTCAGAAAAGAATAGATTGTCCTTGGAAGTCTAACAAATAGAAATAATGATCTGTCAATAAAAAAGTAAATAATATACACAAGTGTATAGTCCAAAATATAAGGTGAGAGAGCTTTACTGAAAAGCCGTCTGGTATATGGTAAGCTTTGGTCATGTTCAAGTCACATTAGCGGTTATGGATGTTCTCTTCCTTTTACTTTTGTTTAAATCCCCTGTATGCTACCGTCAGCGTACCCAAAATTGGACATTTTTGTTATATATTGGTGTGTTTCTTAGCATAGATTCAATTTCAAAAATGTTTTTGAACAGGCGAGACTGTTGCCTGAAAAGGACACTTTTTGTACTGGGGGGTGGGGGGAGATAAACGATTAATATAAGCAGGAAAGCACACGTAGTTCAAATGTGTTCAGACTCAAAGGAGATTCCAATTATATATCTTCTGCAAACAGCTTGCTTCAGTTGAGAAAAATATTAGAAAATCATGTTCAAATAGATAGCGTTAGTTAGGGAGATTTATGTTTTTATTATGTAATTATAATTGATTTATTGCATTGCACTGGTCAATGTAGTGATCAATAAAGTGACCGTTTACAATGAGTTACAGACCATATGATGATCGTCAATTAACTAAATGACTGTTTGAGATGAGACACTTGGTATGTACTGGGTATGAAGGATACAATGTGTTTATACATTTAAATGGATCTGATGAATTATTATTACAAATTTTCAGACAGCTTCGTAGTTTCTCATACTTCTGATACTACTAAGAATGTATATTTTTGTCTTGAAATATGTTTTCTGAGGAACTGCAAATGTCAAAAATTATGCCTTTACACACGATTTTGGTCAATTTGTGACATTTAATTATATAAATGGCTTCATTGTTATCTGTAGTTTGTTCAAATTATGAATCTGAACCCAAATGAAGCTGATAATTTGCTGTGAACAAACCCTATCAACCAAAGCATACAGTGTCTAACAAAATCACAATGTTTTCATTGTAGGTAATTTCTAAGTCAATATACAATTAAATTGACATCAGTAATAGTATCTTGTAGTGACAATTGCATACCTAATAATACTTCTATAGCATGTCAATGTCCTGGCCCGTTCTCACACAAGTGTCCCGTTTTGGAGTTCACTGATGGTCAATAACATAATGTACTTATTGTATAACAAAACATGCTATCCCTCATTGCTATTCGCCGTGTACACTTCCTGTTGTTTACCTCTTTAATTTCCATATTAGTTGATGTATGTTATGTTGGTTTTATTGATAATCAGTATTTTTAACCGTTTTCTTGACCATATTGATAAATGATGTTAGTTCGTGACATTTTCAATTCAAGCTATGTTACAAGTTATAACTGTACGTATATCTCTCCATCCGAAATTCGCAAGCAAAGGCATTGCATCTTCTGTTTCCAGAGAACTTCGTTTCGTTGATGATCATTTGTGGGGTCTCTGTGGCTCTTGTTATTTTACTTCTATATCAATGTTTAGTTGTAATAGTATCCGTGCATGTCGTCGCTGTGCTATATTGTTTCTACTTTTCTGTTATCGGTAACGCAGATAGCTGCAAAGTGTGCTGTGGTGGTCTATGCTAATTGTCGTTGAGTCAGATGCCAAAATAAATTCGGTATTGGTACGAAATTTTGTTGAATGTTCAACGAGTAAGTACTCTGCATGTCATCCCTCCACCTTATTCTGCAAATAAACCCGGGGAAATAGGGAGGGGTTGCAATAACATAAATCTACACTAGTTTCATGAGTTATATCGTCAGTCGAAGATCTAGTCGATAACTCAATCGTTAGCATACGAACACACACACGAACCACGCACCAACAAGCATCATGCATGAATGCTTGTTTTGTTTTGTGCTACATTACGAGGTACAAATTTGTTCATGCGGTGGGGAATTAAAGCATAGCGAGGTATTTTTATTCCTTTGCCCGCTTTGTGTTTCTTACTTGGCATGCAAGGACGTACCTACACCTTAACATACGCCCTCGCCAGTGGACTCCCCCGACCCATTCTTAGTATTTTAATGTGTTATTACAACAACCCCAAACTGTCAAAACCATCCTTGCCCAGGAATATGGAATACATCAATCATACTTTGTGAGTCACGTCAAAGACTGATCGACAAACAAATTGACTTCAAAATCCCTATGTAGCAGTTAATTGTTCATGCTGACATCAAGCAGGCTTTTTCTTTCTCTCCTCCGATATCTGTCCACTCTATGGTATATTTTATCAATTGTTTTTACATTACAATACGTGAAAATTGATTTTTCATTTGATATTTCATAACAATGTATGTCTAACGTGTAAATACTAACCTTTATCACATGGACACGTGTTCTTTATGTATGTCGTAGGGATCGTTTTGTCATTAGGCTGTTTTTATCATTTCAATGAAAATAACTAATGTTCCATACATCAAGCGCTAATATTTCCGATAATTCGTCTTTGATGACACCATATCTAAATATATAGTATCGACACCGGACATCTAAATGCATTTCAAGAACGCTGCATAAAGAGAAGGTAAGTTTTTATTTTAAAATTCGAATGTGTGTAAAGTTAAACAATTGATGTAACAATGAATTTCTATGTTTTGCTAGAAAGACAAAATATATATATTTGGTCAGTCAACAGAAGGTCGTTATTCGTGGATGACCTCTTGATCTGTTGATCTAAGAACATGCACACGATAGAACGACAACTTCAACAGAGTTTAAACAAACTACAAAATTTGGCATTTCTGTCAAAAACGAAAAGCACACAATGACCCAAATCTTACACTTGATGGCACTAGAATTCCTGTTGTTGAACAGACTAAATTTCTCGGCCTCATTTTTTATTCGAAACTCTCTTTCATACCACATATAAAGTATCTGAAGGATAAGTGTTCCACGGCGTTAAACATTATACGAGTTCTTTCTAATACTGATTGGGGAGCGGACCGTGAAATGCTTTTGCGCCTATACAGATCACTTATTCGAACAAAACTGGATTATGGTTCTATGGTATACGGATCGGCGCGCAGTTCTTCCCTGCAGATGCTAGACCCAATCCATAACCAAGGGGTACGTCTAGCCCTTGGAAGCGAATGAACCATCCCTTTATGACAGAAGAAAAAAACTTGCATTACAGTTTGCAGCTCAATTAAAATCAAACCCTAAAAATCCTGCTTTCTACCAAGTATTCAACCCAAAATACCAAACATATTTACGCAAAACCTCCTTTCGGGAATGCATTCGAATTATCCTCCTCATACACAACTTAACACCGATGGTTCCAAAGAAGGTGAGAGAAAGTGGCAGTTGCCTGCAGTAATGCTAAATCTTGCACTTCAGTTCGACTACCAGACGGCGCCTCCACCTTTTCTGCCGAAGCATGCATGCGACATTGGTTTGGCACACGACCATATCGATGAACACCGCATTAAAAAGGCAATAATTTGTTCAGACTTTCTATCTGTCCTAAACAGTTTGCAGTTACGAGATCCTAAAAACACACTCGTACAATACATTGCTTTTAGAATATCTCGAATCTTAAAATAAATATAAAAATAACTTTACTATGAATTCCGAGCCATGTCGGAATTAAAGGCAACGAATTTGTTAACAGGGAAGCAAAAAAAAATGAATGGCAGCAACGCTGGTCTTTCCAGACCAGCAACAAACTTTTTAAAGTACAACCGAAACTTAAAGCATCTGTTCCCAGTCGGAAAGATTGAGGAGAGGAGATTGTCCTCTCTCGGCTGGGCACACATTTCCTCCTCATTCGTACCTTTTAAAAAGAGAAGATCCACCTTCATGCCACGCATTTAAACACATTCGTATTAACTACTTTCGAGCCCCGGATATGAAAACTCTTTTCAGTTCCGTGGACTCGAAGGCATTTTAGTTTAATTATGTACACATACAATGCGAATGCTTTTAAAAATAAACATTTTGATCTGATTTTATCTTCGCTACGCACATGTTTGTTTATAAAAATCACCATGGCCCTAAATGACCACAGACGTCGATGGGCCGTTAAACCCAAACAAACAAACAAACAAAATAGATAGAAGCTTTGTGATGTAGACTGGGATATCGCAACCTGAGGGTAAGTTTTTCATGTTTAGCACGAGACTTTGACAAGTGTTTGAATTCAAAACTCTGATCCCGAGATGTGAGATGTTGTATGTCCGCATTGCATAGGAATGATTGATATTTAACCCACTCATATATTGAACCATCATCAAAGTCAAAGCCACTCTAATTTCTCTAATTAGGTAAAGATAGCTTGATTTTTCCTAGCAAAAGGAGATGCATTTGTTCAGTGTTGAAGAAAAACGCTTTTGATGATTTTCAAGGTTGCGGTTTCTTATTGCAGAATGGTTTTTAAAAACGAATCCGTTATATAGCATTGGGTCATTTAGTTCATTATATAGTTACGTTGGACATTCTATATAGTAGCTTTAATAAGGTAAACAACATCTTAATTAGGTTCTTATTTTTAATACAGAACTTTATACATTTAGTTAATGACTATTTATTTATTTAACTGAAATCCCGCGAACGCATCACTTTGTTAACGTTACATACAGAACGTCTGTACCTTCATTTTTGTATCTTTATACATAACCTTTGAGATCTGAACAAGCTTAGTTAATCGCAATCGCTTGTTTTTGTTTATATTGTTCCAGAATTTACACAATGGTTTTCCAAGGATTTGTGACAGTGGCGGTCATCGTCACCTTGAACGCCCTTCAAATTTCCAGTCAGTGTCCTGAGTGTCTGACCAAGACTCATCCACAAGATGCATTTTGTCAGGACGATTTCGGTACGAATTGATACCATATCACTTAGGCGCTTTATCGTAATGCTATTTCAAATGAGTAACCGATGAGTGATCACAGATATTTTCGTAAGAGATCTGAACTAATTTGTAAGTTTTTTCTTACGGTATACGTTTGATGGATATTACCTTAGAAGCCAGCATGAGAATAGTGATTCAGGAAGGTTTACCTTTATTTGACAGTGATCAGAACGACTATTACTGATATGAAGGAAACAGGAGACGACCCTACAACACCTGAAATAGATCCAAAGACGTCATACAAGATTGATATTGTAAAGGTCTTCAAGGTGTGTATTCAAATGAATGTCTTAAGATGGGTTTCATTATCAATTGCTTTCGTTTTGCCTTCCTATACTTTCAACATATATTTTGCTGTAAATTTAAAATATGGTCGTACCATCAAGAAATTATATTCATTTTGTATCAAGGCTTAATCGTTTTATTTTTTTCTTACCTTAAGACAGATGATAACATAGATAACATCAACATTCATTTTATATTGTCAAATGCTTCATTTTGTTATATTGGAAGTAACTTAAAGAAAAAGGATTCCACTCTTAAGTCTCAGCTAGTGGTTTCAACTTTAATAAAATATATTGAAAATATTAACTTTTTGAAAATATATTCCGAGTAACTGATATTATATAATTTCATTTTTTTATTTATTTTACTTGCAACTGTCATTTACATCACGTTACTTCCTTTTTTGGTAATGTTTCTGAAAGATATGAAAGATAACTTAAAGATTATTACGATGTATATGACTGTATCAATTGAGTTGAGTTAGAAATACTGGATTATTTTAAGCTGGTCTCCGTCATCTCTCTTTTTTCAGGAGCCGGCTGTTCCATCCATAGAAGCCACATGTATCGCATCGAGTTTATCGGTAAATATTTCTCAATGCGATAATATCATCTATTAAAATTATATGAATCGCTAAAAGTGAAATGTGCTAAAACGCGTCATAAAAAAAAGAAATACATCAATGACTTTCGCTCTAAAATTGGTGCTGCATAGGGGCTATGATGTATTGTATCATGTATTGATAAAATCACCATTGTTGTTATAAATTTCTGATATCGTTTTGTGTTTTTTTGCCATTTTCTCTTATATTCTAAACTATTTTTTTTTATTTGTGATAATTCCATTCATCGTTAACACAGCTGAAACAAATAGTGCACATTTCGCCAAAAGTGTTAGACTACATATATGTTTTACTATTCACAGGGAAACGCCACTGTTGGATGTTTTTTCAGCTTACACGCACTCAACGCTTCACTGCCTTGCGGCGTAGAACTGGAAGTTGACTCATTACAGGAGTATCTGATAAGTGGTTAGTATTTCATCGGCAGCAACCATATCTACCGTGTAATATCAGCAGGCCTAGTATAACCATGCAAACCATATAATATCAGCAATATTATTATACCGTCCATGTTACATCAGTAATGTAATTATACATCACAGAATCATCATACACATCACGTTATATCAGCAGTAAAATGTACATACCATGTAATACCAAAAAATATTAGTATACACACCCTGTTATATCAGTAATATAAGTATATACACTATGTCAACCAGAAGTAAAATTATAAACACCATGCTATATACACTATATTATATAAGCGGTAAAAGTATACACACCATGATATATTAGTATTATCATACATACCATGTTAAACCAGCAGAATAAATATACACCCCATGATATGTCAGTATTATTATACATACCATGTTAAACCAGCAGAATAATTATACACCCCATGATTTGTCAGTATTATAATTAAACATATCATGTTATATCAGCGGTATAATTATACATACCATGTTAAACCAGCATAACAATTTTACAAACCATGTTAAACCAGCAGTTTAATCACACATACCATGGTATATCAGCAGTATAACTACATATGGTACCACCTTATATCAGTAGTATAATTATACATACCATGATATATCAGTAGTATAATTATACACACCATGATATATCAGCGGTATAAGTATGCATACCATCATTATATCAGTAGTATAATTATACATATCATTTCAGCAGTTTAAATGAGGCATCATGATTTGTTGAAACAAGTGATACAGGAAATGTACTTTTCAAAGAAACTGGTGTATTTGGCTTTCTCCTAACACGTTTTTAATAATCACGCAGAGCATAATGTAGCACTACATTTTAATTGATTTGTATTCTAACATTACAGGTACTGTAGAAGATGGTAAGATGATAATAGACGCGTGCAGCCTAGCTATACCGTGGGAGGAAGTAACAGGCCATATGAAGATCGGTCTCAACAAACGGTATAAGAAGAACTGTCAATGTGAGGTATGTTATATTCTTTAAATCAATATTTAATCAACTTTTATCTTTACAATTTTATGTCTGATAATTAATTCATATTATAATTATGCAGTTAAAGTGGAATTTGTCGCGATATTGAAAAGCTGACGTTTTTCACGTTCATTAAATAGAGGCGAAAATATTTACACGGGAATAAATATAAATAATATTAAGAATTTAGAGGAATTGATAACAAGATTATTTCTTTCACATTACGAACAGTTTAAAAATGTGAACGTGCATATTATAATTTTCAGGAACAATGAAATATAAATTGATGAATTTTATAGTTTGATACTTGATCACAGTAGACATTTCTTTGTGAAATGAAATGCTGATATTTTATTTCGGTTATAAGAAGATACAAAGTAACACATGTTGTTGAAAAAAGTGATCTTACTTTGAAGTGGTTACCATGAGAAAATCCCCGGATTAAAACTTTAGGATTGACGAATTAAACTAGATCATTTTGAAGCTTCTCCTCCCGCCTCGATTAACATAACCGTTAGAATCAAACATTTTGGTGACGTTCGGCTGTTCCAGGAATCTTGTTTGCGCTGATGAAAAACACACTTCAAAATCGAAAACATAAGGGAATATCTATATTAAGGTCAAAAATAACTAAATATTAAGAATGTAAATATACAAAATTGAAATACGGATTAATTGCAATCATATAAAAGACCTGTCGCCCATTGGATATTTGGATATTTAGATTTCCTGGAAGGCACAGTATTTAACCGGATTAAAATTTATTTAGAAAGTACAGATGAAACCTTGCTGATTGACTGCTTTAAATATTTAGTTACGTTAATCTTTTTGGCTGATTTAGTTGTCCTTTCCTTTTCATTATTGTCAAGCATTCATTATGTTCTCTGATTTCAAATTCGAATGCTTAGACCTGAATAATTTACAATAGTTTTTAAGAGACTACCTACTGGGTTTTTTTGTACATTTTGTATACATTTGCGTAAGTTGTAAAGTATTTGGAGAGGAAATAACAAAAAAGGGGATTTTTTTTCTCTTGGCCATAACAAAATGGGAACTTTACGAATTATGTGTTCTCATCTCGTATTTTGTAAGCTTATATAAATAATGTTAATGGTGTTGAAGGGTGTATCATTTTAACTTGTTGAGCGAGACCGAGAACTTTTAGTTACAAGATGTATAAGTATTTCTCAATAATTCTGTATTTGATCGATGTTATGATTTTTTTTCAAGCTGGACATATTTTTTTCTGTATTATTTTTCAATATTGCATATTTTCAACAGTTGGTACTTAACCTGTTAACCTTCCTTTGATAGACCGGGGAAGACAAGTGTATCGTGGAACCACCTGAGGATGAACTTTGTTTTTGTCAGTATGCAACCTGCGTAGAGGTTAAGAAGGTTGGCTGTGCACCAGTTTGTAAATGGAAGAAGAGTAAAACCTTCAAAACATGTCTCGGAAGTGCTTGATCCGCGTGCTAAGTTGCAAGAAATGCGGACACTATCAAAAATGGACGAGCAGATGTGTCATGTCAAATTGTATTGGAAATACATGTAATGATACCAATAAACTGCATAATGTTTCATTCTCCTAAAATGTCATGTTTTTATTTTCATTTCATTATATTTAAAAACCCTTACAAGCATATTCATGTGTATATTTAGAGATATGCATTCATCTTACATTGTACACACTAACGTGTTACATACATTTTACTTTCAATACAGAAATATAAACTGTAACCGTTACGTTACACACATATGTACCATGCTATGGCTGGCTCTGCTAGTTGCCTAATCATGCCATTAACCTTATCTTTTATACAATTTGAAATATCATATAAGTAAGGGGTACAGTCGAAATGTAACACTGTATACTTTAGAAGTAGAATTAATGTAACGCAAATTACTTTGCATAAACATTCTACATGTATCAGAACATTATTCTTCACTTTACCTTACTCATAAAAAGCTTAAGAAACTCTTTATTATCTATAATGTGAGCTACTTTTCCTGGAAAGGTGAAGAGCGACAAAGTATATTTTTGTAAACTACTTCGAACATTATTATATAATTTATCTTGGTTGACAATTTCTTAGTTGAGATCGGTGACCAAAGTTGTTGAAAATGGGAAAAAATATTACTGCAGTCTGCCGGAAAGTCTTGCCACGGAACTCAACAAAGCTATTATCAACCAGAAACTCAATAATTTTCAAGATTCCACCCTTAGTATGCTTTACTTTTGGCCTTCCATTTCTGATAGGAAAGCTTCTACTACTGATAGTAACATTGAAAGATCATTAGTAATAAATCGGCCATGTCTATAATGGGAACTTGGCCATTCGTCTAAATCCTTAAAAATGTTAAATTCATGTACTGTGTATGTACATGTTTTGGCAGTTTAGCGTTAGTATTATTTTATCGATTTTCGTGCATTAAATAAAGCGCTAAATAACTATTGCACTATTTATTTATTTCTATTTTATCTTTTGCAAATTCCTTATTCATCTTATACGCATATGCCCAAGAAAATTATTCTTTTAAAACAACGAGGTACATGACGTAGATATGTTTATTTCTATAGCACGACTGGAAATACGGTATAAGTGCAAGTGGATGAACTGTTTAAAGCTGAAAAATGTGTCTGGCATCCAGTTCCAGTAATGTGTTTCGGATAAAATCATATAGCTAAACGTGTAACATCAGTACTTCTATTGATAAACAAAAAATGATAAACTATCGTCAACATCATTTAAAAGAAATTGTATATGGAACATTAATATATAGATTACATTATAGTTCGTACATTACGTAGTGTACAAGACAAAAGATAAAAAGGGTATATCCATAAGTCCCACGATTTTTGTTCAACACTACTGATTAAGTTTGTGTCAGTTTACTGCAAATACTTGACAATTGTCAACGTAAAGTGGTCATATTTCTTTAAAGCACCAACAAGGGATCGAACCCTGGACCTCTGGTTTAAGTTAAGATAGGCTGTATGTACTGTTCCGCATATCTAAGGAAAGGGGAAAGTTTCGGGTCGTGCCTTCGTCACAAAGGGGAGGTAGTTAGCGCACATCGCGTTCACATTGTGCGATATATTTCTTGGCTTCGACGCCTTTCAACACACGGAGTTGAAAAATAGGATGGAGCGAAATGACATTAAGAGGGCTCTCTTTTTGCGCCTTGCTATATTGGTCTCTTCGTTCCTTTGCAATTTAAGTCTACAGAGACGAAAGAACGAAGAACGCTAATGTCCAGTGCTCCTTCACCACTGCAACATGAAGGCGACGAAGCGATTATTATTTTCCATCGTCTCCTGTAGCTCCAGATTGCTACATCAGTAAGTAAGGAGTATTATAACAAGACTTCTTGTGACAAAGTGTGTTCATATTTCCCGTAACAAAACTACATATGAAACTAAATATCTTCAAAGGTTTACGCGGTTCTCAATGTTTTCTTCGTTTTGTCGTTTTACCTCGACGAGTTACAATGCACTTTTCTCGTGTAGCAATAATAAAATATTTAACGTATCGGACATAAGATATTTTGGATACCATTGTCACTTAATCTGCAATGAATTATATGAAAATGAACCCAGATAGAGGGAATTAGTCAATGATTGCCCCAGTGAAAACCAAGGGAGGTAACTATAAGTATAAAGCACTACTATGGAACTGTCTGATATCTTTCTCTTGTAGTGCTAGGTCTACCTCAAAATGAGGAATTTCTATCAGCAGATAATGACAGACATATTTTTTTTTTATTTAAACAAGGTAAAAAATCAAAACTGGATCAACCTTTTTAGATATTTAGATTCCTACGTCGTTCTATTCATAGAAATAAGGTCACACTTTGTCACAGGATATCGTGTTAATAGAATAATAAATAATTATGAAAATGTCATAAAATAACTTTCGCGCTATCAAGTAGTTTTCACTTTTTTGGAATATGCAGATTGTGTTACATCAATTACTTAGTCAATTCCGTAATATTTTAACAACCACATTCCGAAATATATGTAAACCTGAACCGGAAATATGAGCATGTTGTCAGCCATCCATGACGCCTATTGTTATATTAGTGTCTATATGCCTTTTGCACCATAGCCGTAAGGTGCCATCCGCACACACATACAACAGAGCTTACTGATGAAGATTTACCTTCTTTTGGGCCTGTATCCCTTGGATTTTATGTAGGATGGATTGTCAATAAATATACATGATTTATGTAATTGTTAATATCTAAAACATAAACAGAAAATGATTAAACAAAAATTGTAAAATGTTCATTTCACAAGCTAAATTGGAGTTATCTCCCCTGTACTGTTTAATTGGATTGGTATGACAGAATATATGTAATGTTTGTAAATAAGTTTGGAAAGGACTTAAATAGGCCTAGCCTGATGTCCAATCCAATTGACATATATAAAGTCAATAAAATCTGATGAAATGAAATGAAGATTTACCCAACGTTACCTTTAAAACAATAGTACATGAACAATATAATACAATATCGTTTAAAACGTGATCCAATCATGACAATACGCCTAAACCTTCCAACTGTGCAAACCTACCAAATCTCGGAATGAAAAAGAGACAGACAGACAGGCAGACAAATAGAATGGTTTTACTTCAGTCTTTGCTATCATTTACTATACTAATATGTGATTGTTATTGTAAAAGCAAACATTTTCTACCCATCTAGCAACATTTTAATTACATATAAAGAAAGCTTGCGTGTAGTGAATATTGACGTAAGTCGTAAAATAAATTACTAGCATACAAATTTACGAATGTTGTTTTAATAATCCTTCTTATACCATACGAGTTGGTCTTGTGCAATAATCATTATGTAATACAACCGTCCCAAATTAGCTGCGGAGGCACTTTCTGGCATCTTTCTTGCTTCTCCATTGACAACGATTTTTCTTAAACTGGCATTTAAGCGTTTGTGAGAAACACTGCTTTGCGTCGTGAAGACATTGTCCTGCTGTAGGCTTCGTTGTACTGCAGTCATTACTGGCGCATCTCACAATCTGGTAAATTAAGAAAAGAAACATAAAATTCATAGTCCTTTATTTTAGGTGTTGAGCGTTAATCTGCTAGGGTATATCAGGAAATTTTCGCTGCAGTTTAAATTTCACCTTATTCGCTCTCCACAATCAGGATGAATCGATCATGATCGTGTATATTAATGCACAACATATCATCTAGAAGGCTTTCATGTAGAGGGCGAAATTAATACAGGGCGAATACAAAATTTACCGGTACATGGCGAATACAAATTATACCGGTACAGGGCGCATACAAATTTTACTGGTACAGGGCGAATATAAATCTTAGCAAAAGTTTCCTAGTATACAGGACCTAAAGTAACAGAATTCCTGTTAGTCCGGTCACAATAGTTTTCCCTTTTCTTTTTTTTCAGAATAAAGAATTCCCATATCAAATAACACAGATGATTTAAACTAGGGTAATTCTTTTGTTTAATAACGAAAAGAAATTCCATGAGAATGTCTATCTCTAATTTTTATGTTTTCGTTGTAAATAAATTCATATTTCATTTCAAATTTCTTATTTCTAAAGCTTATTCTAAAGAACATACACAGCTATCATTCAAAGTGAGAGAGAGAGAGAGAGAGAGAGAGAGAGAGAGAGAGAGAGAGAGAGAGAGAGATTTAGGATCACAAACCATAGTTGTGTCGTTTGAAAAAGACAAAATAAATAAGATGATAAGGAGAAACAGTAGTGCATGAAATAATACATGGCTTTAACATAGTGTGATATCTTATTTTAGCAATCTGTGCGAAATATTTAATGTTTTGACGTCAAATGTTAAAAAGGTCATGACATATGCATTTTAAAACCTATATTTTGAAAAAGTGTATCGACTTCCAGTGTCAAACGGAGTCTGTGGTCAACCTGGACATTTTGTAAGGTGAAAATTACTCAAAATATATGGGATGGTACTTAAATATTGTATTCAACCAATTTGTTTTATAGCTGTAAATAACAGAGTAAAGAAATGATGATAATGCCCGTAAATTTTGCGTATACGATTGTATCCGAAGATCAGTGTATTAAAAAATCACAGTTTCAGTCTAGCAATAAAAGAAACCCTTCTAAACACACCTTCGGCTATTTTGAATACTAATATCTACTGTTTTCTTTACTTTTGAGCCAGAAAACCCAATTAAACGCCTAATACTTAAACAAAACACTTGCCTAGAAACTGGCAAAACAGTAATATAATATACAACGTCAGGAACTGTATAAGCGAGCGACAGAAATCGAACTCACGACATTTCTGTTTCAATGTGGGTACTTAGATTAGCACGTCACTAGTTCTAGATTTTCTATTGGTTTATTTCAATACATAGTTTTCATCTTAGTTTTTAATTCGAGAAGTTTGAGAAACAATGATACGTACGATCACCGAGGCCCCTCATCTGCCCAGAGCAGGTTTTGATTAAAATTCTGGGTATGTTTGTTAAATTATTTATCATATAGCCGAAACAATACAAAAAGTCAAATCTGTCATTTTTAAAAATGTGTGTATCAATAAAACATTTTTATACCTTTAAAACAATTGAAATGTTTAATAATAGACCTACATATGTTACTGTAATCATTTGACATATACGATTTGTATAACAATAAGTTTGTTACGTACCTCACAGTTCTTACAATTTCTGTTCCCTCGTCCAAAATACGATTTTGGACCATTTACCAGGAAAGACGTCTGCTGTGGTGTAAGCCGAGAGCATTCTGTGTTCCAGTCACATAAACCAATGCCATATTGTGTCTTCCCTTTGAGTTTTGTTGTTCTCCCTATATCCGAATAGATTTAAACAATAAATTTAAAGCACAAGATAACACGCCTTGCTGTTTTCGTGAAATTAAACCATGTTTCTGTTGAATACGTTTGGTTTAGTTTAGCATTGTTTAACGTCCTATACTCGAGTGTTTGTCGAAGCTCGGTTTCAAGAAATGAAAATGAACTAACTACTGTAAGAAAAACATAATAAATGAAGGGCCTTCGCTGGAAGAGATACTTACATCGTCCATACTCCATGGGAAACGCTCACTTTTGCTCTTTGCACCCCTGGAATATGTCATGACAAATTCGGAGACTCAGTGTAAACCACCATGTGGATGAGACAAGAAGACTAATATGATTATTTCATGTATATCAAAGGAATATGTCGGTGGCGTAACGGTAAACTGTCTTTGAAGTCGGGTGTCGCTCTTCTTTAATCTTCAAAGGACAGGTATCAGTCTAGCGATTGGTCAGGGGGGGTTTTCACCTGAGATCAATCAAATAGTTAGCCGCGTGCCTTCAGTTTTGCTATGAAATGATCCAAGGGTGCAGAGAGCGACTGGCTATGTTATTGGACCAATCGTTAGGCTGATACTTGGTCCTTTGAATATTATAGAGGGGCTATACCCGACTTCAAAACCAGACATTTTCATCGTAACGCAACTGACTGATTCTTTTGATGTACATCAAAGGATTCTCCGTCTCATCCAAGATGGTGCACACTGAGCCTTCTTTTTTGCTTTGACATATTCCATGTTTGCAGAGAGCGAAAGTGAGCGTAACCCCTGGAGTATCGCGGATGAGCTATGTATATCTAACCTGTAAGTAACCAAGCCACTCCCGCTGTTACGTTCACGCCACATGCAGCACTGTTCAAACCTGTCCTCACTTCAATAGTGTCACCAGCCTTTATCTGTTTACCCTATAAAAAAATAACAGTGCAAGTCCAGAAAACCAGAAATAACTTTATCCCTGTCCCACTGCACTGTGGTTTTAGCGTACATCCAGTAACCTCCCCTTTATTTCGTGTTGAATATAATTGTTGCACAGTTGTGCCATGACACTTCCGTTGACCAATAAGCTTATTAGTTAGAGCAACAACATAACGATTTCAGGTTCAGGGTTCGAGTTCAAGATTTTGTCTGCCTGTATAATATATTTTGTTTATTTAATCTTGTTTATTAGTTTTCATAAAGACTCGCAAGGTGTGGTTTTCTTTTCAGAAACGATTTGCCAATGCTAAAATCATGCTGGATGAAACAGCTCCCCATGTGGGTTAGTTTTTGGCAGTGGCCAGGGATCCTTATATGAAGAAAGTACACTACATGAGCTTAATCTGAAAATTTGTAAAACCTTATCGTCCGTTTATAAAGAATACCTGTCTTTAAAGACCACCTGTGTCAGCCAAGCATCATTCGAATAACACGATTCGTGCATATGAAGATAATAAACAAGCTTCTTCATAATATAATAAGTTCCTACCTTGATGACAGTCTTAATCAAGATTTTGTAAACCACGTGGCCGCCAATGTCTGGAAAATCGCCGGTTAGTGGGATTATCTGTTGGCCAACTTGATCTCCTTTGATGACTGAAACACAATAGTGGAAATAAGAAGTCGAGTGAATGAAAGAAAAAAGTATTTTACTTTGTACATCAAAACTTTACACAACCGAAAAGAACATCTAGAACATGCCAACTCTGACACATGTTAAGCGTGGATAGCTTTGGTAAGTCGACATATCCCCCACCCCTTTATTTTCTTAAGAATCAATTTTGATGTTATGTTTTCCTATACTAACGTTGTCTCTTGATGTGCTCGATTGTTAAGACTATATGACTGCAATTAATGTGTAAGTTTAGCTTTTCACTAATCCATTTCATAAACATTGTTTTTAAATAAAGGGGTAAATGTATTTTCGAGATAAAAAAAAAAAGGCGGACGATCGAAACCCTGTTGACACTGGTTTGTCCCCGAGTATGAAATATTTCTTGGACTAAAGTATCACCTTTTAAGTTGACTCACCAAAATCTGAATCGCAGACAACAGCTTGTGGGTGTCGGAAGAGACATGTACAGCCTTCGCTAACAGGTATTAAAGACAGGGCGACGCTGGCAAGCACTAGGATAGAGGCACCCAACATCCTCGTCTACTGCAATTATCTCAAATATATTAATAGTACACAAAAAATATAAACAATTTATCAACAATAAGGATAATTTGAAATATCGTGACTAAGACCCAGTATGGTGCATTGACTCTGTATTGCATTTGTACCAGTCACTGTCAGTGACTGCAAAGAAACACGCTAAAACAACACAACCAAACATTCTAAGTGTTTCAGAAAATAAGGTTTCCCTTGTTTAGGTTTCTGTATCACATTTACGATACGCTGCTTCCTAGTTCCGTATTTTAAATGATTGGTTTAAGTTTCTCTTATTATGCTCAGATGTAGCAACATGTGTAATATTTGTCACCAAACATATGCAGAAAGAAACTCGTGGAGATAACAGTAATCGTACACATAGATTACTAAATCTAATTTCTGTATCTACATATGTCAAAATAGAAAAATATTTTTCTTTAATTTAATGCCGTTTAGGTCGAAACAGGTTCATGAAAGAATACGTTTCCAGTGCTTTCATGAAATATCTAATACTTACCGTTAAGTGAAAACTGAAGCAGCTGGACGCTTGTATTCCTTTACCGAGTTGACTATGGAGGAAAACGTAGGTTATAGCTTATATAGAGCAATATACCATGTGGGCGTGGTCGGTATACACACGTGCAAAGTTTTATCTTCTAATCGGATTACGAAATTCCTAGAAAACTTAAATCTCAGAGGAAAAAAGAAAGGTTCCTTCAGATCTTTTTTTCAGGAATTATCGACATACATTTAGTATTATAATACTATATTCTATTATAAACGGGTAACAGAGCATACTAAAAGTATGGTGTTATAAAGCAATCACATTTAGCTTATTATACGCTTCAAAATAGCAAAACCCCATTGTCGGACTGTAAGCGAAACAGCAGCGCTTGGTTTATTTTTGTTGCTAAGGACGACTTCATTTTCAAATCCAGTGGTTGTCATTTTTACCTTTTTGCGGCCTGTACATGCACGTCTATAACCGTACATTTTACTTTACATCAATCGAAAGAGCCACATAGATATCATCAAAAATAATAGCTGCTTGAGTAAACACTTCTACATTTTGTAGGCAGAAAATAAATCTGAAACTATAATAATAATAATTATATGACTTAACATGTTCATTGCGTGCGTGCGTGCGTTGCGTGCGTGCGTGCGTGCGTGCGGTGCGTGCGTGCGTGCATGTATGTGCGTTATTTATCAAACGATAATAAGTTTGTGATATCGAAAAAGTGACTATAACGCTTAGTAATGTCGAAATGAGATAGAATTTGTATTTAAGCATTCATTTTATTTCCAGAGTTAATAGTTTATTATCACTCTATATCGACTCAGCAACCTAATTGTTCGGTTAATATCATAAAAATGACGTGTTACGTATACACAGAACTATTATATATTTGACAAGGGATCAGATAAGTGTAATACACACCACTTTATAACAGCTTGTGTGTTACTTTATCCAACATTGTATATTTGTTTTTTGATGTGTTTTTAATTGAGGTTGCTAATTGCATTCCTCGTATGCCGTACAAACTCTCTGCAAATTATTTCTGGGAATTGTACATGAAAAATAATACATCAACGAATATATATCATACAGGAAATTAATTACTTCGGCATTTCATAAATTTGTTGAAATAGACAATGAAATGAGCAAACACGCCATCGGGAATATTTTACAACAGCATTCACGCATACCTGAAACCGATCAGTTATACTGTAGTCAATTTCAGCGAATAATCACCTGGTTATTTAAACAACCACTTCCCCTCATTGCTGAATAGTGAAATTCCAGTCGCCGTTTGTTTGTTTTCATTTACATGACGCATTGCGTTGAAGTGTCAGGGATTCCTATGTGTGTGAATCATGTTGACCGGGTCTTCTACAAGACAGACTTTAATATACACTGCAGATTTTCGTCGTCATGACAATGATATATATCTAATTATATTTTTCAAGAATCCGTCGCGATTCACGGGTTTTTGAAAGCTGGATAAGGACATGATTTACTGGATTTGCTGAGAATCATTTTGACGGGTTCCATACGTAGTACTGGAAATCTATTTTTTAATCAGAGCAACTGGTCTGCCACTGACTTCGATATCTAAGAAGAACGTATCTCGTATAGGCAGATTGAAAAATGACATGTTTCCTTAACGCCAATATACACACGAACGATGTACGCGACAACATATGGTCTGGTTTATGTGGTAAATACAATAACCTTTTGATCTAACGCAACAGTTCAATAAAACTAAACACCATATAATATCCATTTTTCATGCACACTTAGTTTCGTAAATTAACTTTTCTGTACTTATAACGTTGAAAACATTATTCAGCAATTCCCTCCACATGTGTGCCTGACTGTGGGAGAAATTCGTATTCGTGTCAATGGTTGTTCGTGTAAAAATAGATATTACTTGAAATATTTGAACAGTAATCAAACGGCATTAGTTAATGGTTATAAATCGTAATCATTCGATCCCGAATTAATAGTTTGCGAGTCACTTTACTTTTTTCAGCCCCCACGTGGTATTACGATATTGACTATTCTGTAACATTGGAATCCTCCTTTCTGCATTCCCGTAGTTTACTTTGATGTAGCCATGCGTGTTGTGTAAGTATTACATGTTATAGTCTAGGACACTTGTGCATTTCCATCTGATATCTCTATTTGATTTGTTGATGTCACGATTGGAAAGGAAATCGAAAAGTTTGTGTAATTCCGTCATCAATTCGGGAACCACATGGTAAGACAACACAGAGAAAGGTTATAGACTGAACAATTGTGTAAATTGCTGCATAAGATTTTGTATTTTACTTTGCTGCTTTACGAGAAAGAAAGATTATATGAGATGTATTAGGAGCATATGAATCCCTACTGAGTTAACACGTATATAAACACATATTCTAGAGTGACTCACGTCTGTACTGTAAATTTTCGTCGTTACTCCGACACAACAGTTACATTGATAAACTTGTTACCAGTCATTTGATAAAGGAATATAAATACATCTTATCATATTCATATCCCTGTATATAAGATTGTCATCTTCGATATCAATATCACTGAAAAGAAAAGAAAACAATGCTACATATATTGATTGTTTAGGTAACGCGGACTTCAGATTAAATCCGCCTTGAAAATGTTATCGCAAACTATATAAGGTCCCAGTCCATTCTTGATTTCTCTGATGAGGTCACATAGTGGTTTATTAGTATCAGTGAGTTTCCCATTTTTAATTGAAGTGTTAAAAGGCGTTTACAGAATAAAAAAAACGAACTATATAAAAAAGACTTAAGAGACATTTACTTTCGTATTTTCATAGCGGCAATCCTAGAAAAGCCATAATATGTACGATTGAATTCATAACATTCTCAGCAATAAAATAGGACGAAAATGTCTCAGATTCCAATGGTGGATTATTCTTATATAACGAATGCGCATAAGAAGAGTTTAATTTTTTTCCAATATTGTTAGGAATTTCGTCGTAAATTTTGCACTTGCATCATAAGGTCACTGCATACACTATAACGCAATACAAGCGCTGTTTTTCACTCTCGCCATTACCGATAAATAGGGTATTAAGTAAATCTATTGTCGTTTCCAAGAAAGGGTATCCATGTCGTCTATTGTTGCTATGGAAATATTATCATTTAAAAGAAAACAATTAAATGAAACCGATAAATGAGAAAACTGCTAAATAGTCAGGAGTGCTACCTAAGACTGGTTCCCTAGTATGAGTCCTGTGTGACCTCAAGTTTGATATATACCCTGGACCCAATCCATTGTCCCACAATTCATATTATAAAGTAGTTACAATCCCGTTATATATGTCAGTGCAACCGGTACTTGCCCGATCTGCACTTTGTGGTTTGGACCGACGGGGAACAGATGGTCTGGTGTGTCAGCTTATTTCAGAGTTTTACCAATGGTAAAGAAGGTGATCCTTTCATCTTAACTTACATATATACAGTAGACATATTAAAAGTAGGACATTTCCACATTAAATTCAGCAAGATTCAAACATGCGTATAACACTTCAGAAGCCATTATAAAGTTCGTGACCATCGGGGAGTTTGAAGCTAGTGCCGAAACCATATTGATTTAAGTTCTTATGGCACTAAAGATAGATTACTAAGACATTTCATACTTTTTTTTCAAAACCATGTGTAGTTCAAATCTATTTAAACACATTTATGATTTACGATTGGAGACTGCACTGTGTGTATATTGAAACTTGTATATTCCTAATGTATAATCAACATGTATAGGTTGTGTCCGGTTATTCTAATGTTTTATCAGACATTTATATTACGTCACCAAAGGGATTACGTAATCATAAATGCTCCATATCAGGGTCCCATGTACATATATGTGTCGTAAAAGTCTATTGTTTACTGACCAGCTTCGATTTCCGAGAAATGCGTACATAGGAGATACACGGATACATGAGGGAAGATTGTTCCTGATGGAAAAGAATTATTCTTGTTTAGACTTACTATATTTACATTAACGAAAAAAGCTTAGACATACCCGTTACATATAAATGACTCAATTTAGACTTTTCTGACATATTTCATTTGAAGTAAACTTAGAAAACGTCAATCTGAATTTAAGGATCCCATAACCGCTGCCTAAGCAGTAACGATGCAGTTGAAACTCGTTCCCGGCAGGACTATATACATGTATATAGCTTAAACAAGTTATTTCTGAAAAGAAGACCATACCTTAATGATATTTTCTTGATTTTCTTACATGATTGTTATATTTTTTCTTTATGTTAACACATTGTACAGTACATCCGAAACAAAATTAAGATGCTTCAGGAAGAAATCCGTTGAAAGATAATTCTTTTAGTGTTTTACCTACAATGAGCCAGATAACTTATTTTAGATATAATAAGTAGCTTCATTACTTTTTGTATAAATCTACTCTCTTCTGTTAAAAGTGCAGTGTTACATATTGAGAACATTCCTTTCATTTCAATATAAGTTGGGTTGACATAATAACAATAATTTGGTATATATAGAGTTTAGTACATTGGTATAAATAGTGGTATTCGTCCCCAACACAGTGATTACATAGAAGACAGAACCATTATTATTATTTCTTTATTTCCTCCAAATTGAAAAGTTACAAAAATATACAGTGTAGTCAAAATACAAATCAAATATTATTAATTGATACTTAAATGCACATAAATACATCAGTTAACTACAGAGATGAAGAGAGAAGTTAATTTATCTTGAATTAGTTTAGTAAATACAGAAAGAATGGTCTCGTTAACAGTAAATCATACAAAATAATCAGAATGCCTGGGAATCCTGAGGTTTCCAAGGGCTGGGGAAAGCCCTACCCACACATAAACACACACAAAATGAGAGAAAAAATAGTAATTAGGTAGACATTGCTATTGTACGTACGTTTGTACGTGTTATTTCATTATTAACGCTGATACAACAGCAACATTTTGTCAATAAAAATAGCATTATGCAGTACAAAGGTTACATAATCAGATGAGCTTAATATGTGGGGAAGGCTACCCCCCAAG